GAAGTCATGGCTTAATGGGGGTCTTTCCTCTGCTGTGTTGGTTTTGCTCCTAGTCATGGAAATGTCATACACAGTAGCTTGTAGTTAAACTACTATTAACTATGTTGACTTTGTGTTTCCTCTTATACACACATTTAAAAAAAGTTGTAATTCGGTCTGGAAGCATCACTCCTGAGATGATGTGAGGAGATGCTGAAGTGCTGCCTGTGATGGCTCATTTACATGTGCAGATGTATCAACTGAGATTTGCATAATGGAGTGCTGAATGCATATACAGTAATGTGAACTTGCTCCAAGCAGTGCAAACCAACACAGCAGCTGATCCTCTTATTCAACAGCTTTGCCTGCAGTCTCATTTGTAATACAAACAGTTGCAGTCATTTATATACTGTAGAGAACTCCAGAGTGTAGGTCTGCTTGCTTTGCTGTCAGGAGCAAGCTAGAAAAAAAGTTGTCAGAGCCATGCAATCAAGAAGCAGTATTTCTTTAGAGGAACGTGGAAAAAAAGTCTTTATCAAGTGAAATGAACAAAAGCAGCAATAGCTCAGGTCTGACATGGTGTGTTCCAAAGGCAACACTATATTCATAGATCTCTACAGTACTTATTAAAGAACCTCTCTTTAGAAGTATGTATGCCCTTTACATTTAAAATACATTTTAAAGTACTTATTAAAGAACCTCTCTTTAGAAGCATGCCCTTTACATTTAAAATACATTTTATACTCTTAAAAGGTCACAGTGCAGATTTCACCTTATGAAAGGTGAACACAGGCATTGATCACAGCATGAATAGTGACTAATGCAGGGAAAGAATTTGGGAGATGAAAGGTGAACACAGGCATTGATCACAGTGACTAATGCAGGGAAAGAATATGGGAAATGCAACATCATCATTCTCAATCTGTGGTTTTCCAGATGCTTCAGACAAACTATTCTCAGCCTATTTTTTTGTCTCCCCCATAAACACAATATGAAAGAAATATAGGCCAAATCAGGATTGTATACGTCCTATAACGGGCCTTATAAGGTGGTATGTGAAGACTTGTTACTGGTCTATGGCCCCCTCCAAATGGGCCAGGGTCCCCCAGTGGGCCATGTGCCCTCCATTGAGAATGGTGGCTTTAGCCTTTAACTTCCCAGATACCCCAACCAGGAGAGCCCATGGTAGGAATTCTGGGATGCAGTTAAGCAATATCAGGAGAGCTGCACATTGCTCAACCCTTGTCCTATCCTTTGAGAGTCTGAAGTGGCTATTGACCAACCAGGAAAGAAGACAGAGGTCTTGGACCCATGGCAGTAACCTAATAGAAACATCAGCTCTGGGTGGAGCAGCAGCAGCAGCCGTGGTAGTGAAGGAGACACAGTTCTTGTGTGGGAATTTTTCCACCCAAGGGGGGGGGGTGCCTTCTTCCCCTCCCCTTGCTATGCCAGTTGAACTCCTAGCAAACAGGCTCAGAATAAAAAAGCCTATAGTGTAGTGCTTTTCTAGAAGTCTCTTGCTCAGGAACATCTGAGATACAGTCCTAGCTTTTGTTTGCATCTCAGAAAGATCATAAGATCTTCCCCCCAAAAAAGGGGGGGAATCAAAGCGTGGATAGAATGATCTTGCTTGGAATGGAAGGAAAGACTTAATATGCTTGTGGCTTTTTAAATTAGGGGTGGGAAGAATATGATTTTAAAAAGAGAATTGTATGGAAGCTTATGAAAATTAGGCATTTGGGGAGAAAGTGGTTAGAAAATACAGTAATCTGAATTTGAGGTCAGCCTATGGAACTGATGAGCAGCAGATTCAGGACAGGCAAAAAGGGAGCACTCTTTCACACACAGAGGCATTCTGTAATTAACTTATAGAATTCTCTGCCTCAAGGTATGGTAATGTTTAATAGCTTTAAAAGGGGATAAGACAAATTCATGGAGGATAGACCTACCAACTGCTGTTAGCTGTAATAGCTTAATAGAATCTCCAGCATCAGCAGGGCTTTGCATATTGGTTGCTTGGATGCCAATAATTAATGAAGCACAGGGCCTTTGTATCCTGCTTAAGGCAGAGGTTGCCAAAATTATTTGGGGGGCTACAGATTCAAGAATCCTCCAGGCAGTGTAGCTGCTGGTCATGATGGCTGTACGAGGATTCTGGAAGTTGTTTTTCCAAAAACTGAGTTTCCCAAGCTCTGACTTTTCAGGAATTTTATTTAAATCTTCTGGCTCACTGGTTCCTAACCTTGGGTCACCCAGATGTTCTTGCACTGCAATTCCCACCAGCTATGCTGCCAGGGTTTCTGAGAGTTGCAGTCCAAGAACACCTAGGTTACCCAAGATTGGGAACCACTGTTCAGGCTGACCGGTTTCAGGAGCAGACATGTGCAGCCTACAGCAGTCTGTCTCAACCTGGTGACTTCTAGAAGTTGTGACCATTTCTGGATATGGTGGCCAGGGATAGTGGGAGGTGTAGACCAACACATTTGGAAGGTATTAAGTGGAGAACAATGAGCTAGACACGTGCACATCCAGCCAGCCTCTTAGAATTGCTTCTTTTTCCTCCTTTAAAAGTTAAGCAGCAGAAGAAGTTCATGCACGGTGACTTCAGGTGCCCTGATTGAACCTTTAGAAGCTCCATAGGCATGTCGGCTTAGCAAAAGAGCTGGCCTTGCCCTTATGCCAGTTTGGGCTATTGTTATCCTGTAGACATGCTTTCAGTTGCTCTACTTGATGGAGCTTTGCGCCAGATTTAGCTGCTGGCAAGCTGCTGTCTCCCCCGCCCCCAACCCTGTCCCTTGTGGGCTGCTTGCCAATCCAGCTTTTCGTCTGTTATTGACATCCAATCAGTCCCAGCAGAAAAAAAATGTAGCCTTTTGTTAAGTGTCAGAAACAGCAAGGATTTTTAAAAAGAGAGATTCTGGTCGTTTTACCAAACTGCCTTTTTTCATGTACAGAATGTTTCCATGGAAAGGTGCCCTCCTGGGTTGAAATTTCTCTCATAAATCCCCACTTCTTTTCTTCTGGTTTTCAATCCAGCTGACAAGCTTGATATCATTATTATTGGCAACTGGAGGCTGGCAGGCCAAGTTTGTGAGATCAAAGGGAAATCTTCCCCCAGATGAGATCCAGCCAAGACCTTACTTCATTGGACTTACTGTAAAACCCACTTCGTTTCTTTGGGGATTTGAGTTTATAAAAGAAAATGTCTTCAGTCTGATGCTGGTTTGAACTTTTCTTTCTTTCTTTCTTTCTTTCTTTCTTTCTTTCTTTCTTTCTTTCTTTCTTTCTTTCTTAGCATAAAACTACATGTTGCTCCCTAGCAGATTTGTATCTTTTCATTCATCACTCCTGCTACTACAGAAGTAAAACCATTTGCAAAGAAATTCTTTTTAATCCTCATCACCCAGTAAATTTTAGAAGTGCTCTATTTTTTTTAAAAAAAATTGACTTTATTTGAGAATTGTTCTGTTTTAAGTGAGGAATAAATTATAGTAAGCATTTATTTCGAACACAAACACAAATTTTCAGTTGAATATTCTCTTTTTAGTCACCAGAGATAAAATTCCTTGAAACTATATTACCCAACATATTTAAAACCTCCATATAAATTTAGAATGGAGTTGAGCAGATATTTTTACTTGACCTTTAAAAAGATTTAACGTATAACAGAAACCAGTGTGGTGTAAGGAAAAGAGTGCTGGGCTCAGGAGACTTTGGTTGAAATCTCTGCTTGGCCATGAAAATTCAGTAGAGGTGATGATGGTAAACTATTCTTTGAACATATCCTGTTAGGTTTGCCATACATTTAAAAGAGAAATCATCTTCCTAAGAAATCATACTTGGACTGTCTTGCAAGGGCAACCTGTTAATTTGTTGTCCCATTTTCAAAAGATGACAAACAGGGAAACATCTGGTTTTATCCCAGTTTTGTATTCTGCTTGTCCTGACTGATGCATTCTAGGAATTATAGCCCAGTTCATCTGGAGGATAACAGGTTGAGAAAGCCTGCACAACAGTTCTGTTGCTGAGCTGATACAGCTTCATCTCTTGCAACCTGTTATAGATAACATATAAATCTCATAACAGTTGTTTTTAAAGGTTTTTTTTTAAAAAAGCTAGAAATGTTTAGAAAACCCACCACACAACAGGAGCCCTTGAGTAAAAGGAAACAACAGAATAAATTCTGAACTTTGACAGAGAGTATCAAACGTACTCTACGAGGTTATGTCACTCATGTCATCAGGATGGGAAGTTTTCTAGGCAAGACAAATGTTTTTTTGGGAAAGCAAAAGTATTCTTGAATGGAAGAGAAAAGAGAATAAACCATCAAGTTAGAGTGGGGAAAGATACACTATCTCTGCTCTGAGAAAGGACAAGATGTCAATATAAGAAAGGTTTTTGAATCTTACCATGGCTGCTTTGATAAATTGTTTACTCTTGTAATCCACTTGAATATGTATCTCCCATTTGAGACATGCAATTAAGTCTCTTGTGGAAAAGAAGAGAGAATAGCGAAGGGAGTTTCATTTAATATTCATTTACATTTGCTGTCTGTTGTAGGTTCAAAGGGACAGAAGCAAAGTTGGTTTTTTAAAAAACAAAACAAAATAGCAACTGTCTTTTGTTATTTTGTGTTTGCTGGACTTGTATTTTTCTTACGTTATACGCCACACAGAGTAGTTCTGGTAAAAGAGCAGGATTTTCATGAATGGTTTTTTTATTGCTTGGCGGATCTACCCAGTTTGCATGCCATGCAACAGGATTCCACCTTCCTCTCTTCCCTTCTCCCTTTTCTGTTCTCTGTGGCTCCATTAATTCATACTGCTTGAGTTACATGCATTATGAGTAAAGTAATCTTTGCACACTGGACTCTTCAGCATAATAGCTATTATAAGCCAGTCTGATGGAGGGCAAGATAGGACTGGAGGATTGTGAAGAGCCTGCAACTGTTAGAGTTGGATGTACATGTTGTACTAATGCACTGACCACCATTGTCTTTTGCCTCCCTTTCTCTCATTCAGTTTGACCCTGAAAACACTGGTTACATTAGTACTGAGAAATTTCGAAATCTTCTCCAAAGACATGGCTCTGAGCTGGATCCCCATAAACTGGAAGTGCTTTTGGCCTTGGCAGACAACAATTCCGACGGGAAGATCTGTTACCAAGACTTTGTCAACCTGGTAAGGGGTTCTGTTCAGATGGCAGGTTACATTGGGGGATTTTCTAAGTTCCTCGCTAAAAGTCCTTAGTGCTGGCAAACTGAAAATATGGTAAATGTGTCTCTCAACTGGCCCCTTAAATGAGACATTCCAGTATCTATGGACTGGCAGTCTGGTGTTGAGTTGCCCACACGGTGGTACCTGGCAGGTTGATTGGAGAATGTGTGGAAACTTCTGGAGCATTCCATTAACTGACTTCAGGTTCAAAATGTCGTTCTTAGTAGTTCTGTTCTAAGAGTCACTGGCATTCAAGGTGAGGTTTTCTTACAAAAGCTATCAGCATTCAACAACCTGAAAGAAACCAAAGCTCAGGGCTACATTTTGTATAAACTGAAGTATGCTTTTATATCTGGTAGGTGGAACACAATGCCTCGGCGTATATACACTTGAAAACTGACCTAGACTTATTATGCTTTTATCTTTCCTAGAAAGTGATTTGCATTGTATATCCAAACGTCACCCCCCCCATGGATGTGCTAAGCCTTTTTTTGAGGACCAGAAGCGACCAACTAGCCACTTGCTATTTCCAAAAAAATTCATATATGTTTTAAAAAAGGCCTTAAAAGCCTAGAAACATACTCTTTCTATATCTTATAGAAAGGTGTTTCTCTCCACACCGGGTATGTTAATGGCTTTAACTTAATGCAAAGATGTGGGTTACCCTGACACAGAACATTTACACTGCTTACATGCTGGCCTTGAATCTATAGTTGATGGGTTTCAATTACAGTATTTGTCTCTCACAGTTTTTCATCCCTGAGCCTGGATGCCCAGGTTTTGGAGATGGCCAGGAGTGCATTTGCACAATTAAAACTGGTCCACTGGCGGTGCCTTTTCCTTGAGATGTGTCATTAGGCAACAGTGATCCATGCCTTAGGTACATCCCACTTGGATTATGTAACACACTTTCAGTGGGGCTGCCATTGAAGCCAGTTGTGAAATTTCAGCTGGTTCAGAATGCAGCTGCCAAACTGCTGACTGGGGCTAATTGTAGGCGGCATATAACTCCCCTGCTACAGCAACTGCACTGGCTACCAGCCTGTTTCCAAGGACAATTCAAAGTACTCCTTATCACTTATAAAACCCTGCTAGATCTGACTCCAGGCTGCCTGAAGAACTGAATATCTTCATGTGAGTCTTCAGATCAGGCCCTTCTCTAGGTCCCGTTGCCATCAGAGGCTCATCCATCAGGAACATGATGGAGGGCCTTCTCTCTGACTACTCCCAGGTTGTAGAATGCTCTCCCTCAGGGAGTTATATTGATTTTGCCAACAGCTGAAGACCCACCTCTTCAAACAGGCTTTTAGCAACTATGACTGGGCACTTGTTGTGGTATATATTTTTTAACTTTTCTATTTGTAAAGTTTTAAAGGCTTTTTCCATTAATGAATGGATTTTTAATTATTGCACTTAGCTGCTTTTTAAAGCACAATAAATTAATTGCTGTGATATATGGTGCTTTTAGTATTACTTGCTTTGACATTGTCGCTGCCTAGAATGATCCTCACCGACCAGATAGGCGGGGTATAAATTAAATAAATAAATAAATAATATAAAATAAATTGTGAGCTGCAATGGGTCCCCTCACCAGCCTACAAATCATACCAAACCAACAATGTGGTATTCAAGATGCAGAAAGTTCATAACAAGCAGAGATGGCTGACATTGTCAGCCAGCACATACATCCAGGTGTATGAAACGTTACTAATAAAAGAAACTAGCATGATGGCAAGCTGATTAAGGAGGCTGGAGCATCTGGATGCAGATCCACAGTTCAAGAGACTGATTTCCAGCTATGTCTCCAGTGAGAAGAGCCAATCTGTGTGGCTTTGGGCAAGCTGAGTGGTTCCAGAGCGCTGCCAGAAGGAGGGATTGGCAAATTGATAGAAAACCCTGGGAAATGTTGCCACAGGTTGGAATCGACTTGAGGGCACATAATTATTATAGTGGTGGCAATGGTATACCGATATGATGATATACTGGATACTGGACATAAACTGTGGATCTGTAGGTTGAGATCCCTCAAGCCACAAAGTGTGAGCCAATCGTGCTCTCTTAAATCTGTCCTGTGTTTCAAAGGTTAAACAATACAAATTGGCCTTGGCTTCATGAAAGATTAGTGAGCTAAATATGAATAATGATTAAGTCATGGTAACTGCAGTTGCTGAAAGAGAGAAACATAATTGTGTGTCTTTACTTGATGGGATCAATCTGATACTTGGCTTCCATCTGTGAAATGGATATATATTTGAGGTGGCCAGTTCACTTCATTGTTAAGTCATTATAGTTTTATACACTTGTCTGATGATGTTGTGATGATTCTTGGTGTGCACAACGGGTCCTGCTGGAGTTTTCTTGTAGTAGCCTGTGTTGCATAATAGCACAGAATCAGTTTTGGAACACATTGATTTGTGTGGGGTTTTTTTTGGGGGGGGGGAAGCAGCCTTGAATGTTTCACAGGTGGTCAGGCAAGCTGTAGAACAAATGTGGGTCCCTTCCTATCTAGCTGCAGTCATTCACTACAGTCCCTGAAGACTTCAGTAGAATTTACTGTTCAGCCCTGTACGTAATTACTTGGGAATAAGCATACTGAATTGATTTACTTCCAAATACTTCAAGTTGCTTCCAGACTATGACAACCCTAATCAGCCTTTCAATGTACGTGAAATATTTAAGGAGTAGTTTTACCATTGTCACCCCAGAGTGAATTTCCATGGCTGAGTGGAGATTTGAACCCAGGTCTCCTGAGTTCTAGTCTGTCACTTTATCCACTATACTGCACTGGCTGTTCAAGTAGACATATGAAGATAAAGATGAAGTTCTCTGCAGAGTTACAGCACAGGCTTTCTCAAGGGGAGTTCTAGTCTCAGTTTTGTCACTTGTGAGTTCAGCTGTTTCTGAACACAGCCTGTTTTGCCCAAACTGAACTTAGCACCTGTCTGTTGTCTATGTATTTGCATTTTTCTACAAGCAAGCAAAATTGTGCTACTATACAGTCTTTTTGGTCTTCTTGCCAAAGGTGGACAAGGCGGTGTTATACACAGCATTCTTGAAATGTTCCCATCGTTCAGGTGCATTTGCATCAGCCAGACCTGGAAGAGTTTCCTCAAGCGCTTGGGCAAATTCCTCCACTTTTCTTTGATTGCAAGTCTTGCTGATGTCGATATGTGGTCTTCCTTCCTTTTTCGTGTGATATAATCTCTTTGTTGGCAGTTTTACTCTACTACACACCAGGGAGTGATCAGTATCGCAATCAGCACTCTGTTAACTCTGTGTGATCATAATACTAGGAAGGTTAGAACGCCTAGCGAGGATCAGATCGAGCTGGTGCCAATGCTTGGATCTTGGATGTCTCCAGGAAACTCTGTGTTGAAGCTTCGTATTAAAGAACATGTTGCTGACACAAAGACCATAATAACAGCAAAACTCCAGCAAGCGTTGGCCATTTTCGTTCATCTTCCCAGTGCCAAAATGGCCTAGACAAGTGGGCCAAGAATTGTGATCAGCACCAACTCTAGTATTAAAGTCTCCGAAAAGGAACAGTGGCTCTCTCTCTCAGGGACTTTTTTAAATAGTAGCTGCCAGATCGTCGTAGAATTTGTCTTTGACTTCTGTTGTGGACGACAGTGTTGGTGCATATTGTCATGAGTTCGGCCAAAGAAGATCTGGAATCTGAGGGGTTAATTACAGCTGAGGAAAATGTTAGGCAATCAGAATCGCAGACAGCTGAATCACCACCAGATTCTCCTCCTCCACTAGCTAGAGTGAGGGATAAGCTTCGGCAAAGACTCATGACACAAAGATCAGAGGCTCGAATGAATGCTTTCCATGGGAACATCAGGTCAACCAGCCCTGAGTTGTAGCAGGATGAAGTGTTTAGATGACTGCTGCTGCTATAAAATATGCACCCAGAGACTTGGAAGTTTGTGGAAGCAGCAAGTCAACACTGTGGCTTGCATCCACGCTCTTGCTTATCTTGTTCTTTGGGCCCTTGGTTTTGGACTCTGACTTCTGACTATGGTTTGTGTTTTGGCTTTGGCATTTTGGTATCTGCTTTGCATCTTCTGGACTTTTGATATTGGACTGGCTTATTGGACTTTTGCCTGTTGAAACTCCCTGGGAACATGACACATGTGCACTAATGAAGGTGACCGGTCCCACTGATGAGTGGAGCTGCAGAGACAGGATTCTTTCACTCATCACAGTAGGTAGAACAATGGATCACAGCAAAGTGTTTCTGACTGCAAAACCAACACCATATTCCCTGGTCTCATTCAATGGTTTTCCCTGCCAGAAGAATGAGACATTTTTTTCTTTGACAGATACTGTACCATATCTGGCAATCTCTTGCAGGGCAACAATGTCCATCTGCAGTCTACTCAGTTCCATGTTGATGACAACTGTCTTGCGCACGTTGTCTATTTCCTGCAGGTCATCAGAAAAGGCAGGAGTCATTGTCCGAACATTCCAGGTGCCCAACTTTAGGGCATAAGTTTTCTTATGATTGTTGCATGGTGCAGGGTTATCGATCTGCTTGTCGGCTTTTGCCCTAAACCCCAAACACCCCGTGAGATTAACAGACCGTGACTGAGGTGCAATGACCTCTCCCACCATTGGAACTGGCCCCTGGCATCATGCTGTATGCCAATTGAGCAAAGACATAACCGGAAACTGCTACTTCCCATGTTATTTCGATGCTGTATGCGAAGATGGAGTGTCCTCTCCAGAGCACGAAGCTTGGGTAAAATAATATGGAGGATAAGCTGTTACCCAAGCAGCAAATCCCCCCTCTCCTCATCACTGAAATAGTCCAATGGAAAGGCAAGAGCCAATTCCAGCAATGTCGCAGGAGTTGCCAGAATGACACGAACTGCCTCCAGGACTCCGGCTCTGGATTGTGCCTCGAGGTTAACTCCTTTTCCATCAGTGGATATAGCCGCAAGACACCGGAGGCTTGAAAT